TAGTCATTCATTTTCAGACAGTATTCAAGAACATTAACTTTTATTTTTTAAATAAAATAAACATTTTTATTGATTTCAGAGAGGAAGGGAGAGGGGGAGAGATAGAGAGAGAGAGAGAGAGAGAGAGAGAGAGAGAGAGATATGATGAGAATGAATGGCAGCTAATCTCCTCCACACCCCCTACTGGGGATGGAGCCTGCAACCCGGGCATGTGTCCTGACCTAGAATTGAACTGTGACCTCCTGATTGCTCAACCACTTGGCCACACCAGTCAGGCTCTTTTTAAATTTGTAGAGGGCAGCAAGATTGAGTCTGGCAATCCCAGTGTGAGACATATAAAACAAACGGGGACCAGGAGTTTACAGACCATGCAGGGCCTTGCAGGAAAGGTGTTCAGGTTATATTCTCAGTGTAACATGTTTTAATGAGTGCTTCAGGCCTAGAAGACAATCTGAGTGAAATTTCCAGAAGATTGTCTGTTGTGGGGAGAGCAGGTTGGCAGCAGGTAAAAGCAAAGAGGGAACGCCAGAGGGGGTTAGGTGGTAGTTCTAGTGAGAGTGGATGCTGACTTAGATGAAGGTCCAATGGAGAAGAGTAGATAATCAAGACATATTTGCAAGCTGAAACGGACAGGGCTTGGCGATGGCTTGGGTAGGAGGGGTGAGAGAGATGACGTGCTGCGAATAACAGCCAGGTTTCTGGTAAAGCATGGCTCCGTGGAGTTTCTATTTCTGGAAACTGGGAAGACCAGTGGAGGAGCAGGTTTGGGCTTAAAGATCAAGACTTCCCTGTGGCCTCTGTCCAGGCCCTGGGGCTTTCTGCCACTCCCGCGTGTTCACTGTGCCATTGCTTGGGTTCCCTTTCCCCCAGGCCGGTCCTCAGAGCTGGATGTATTCCCCTTCCTGCTGCCCACACCCACAAGCCCCAGGGAGGGCCATGGCAAGTCTGCCCATAAGTGAATCCAGCCCCTGTTCTCCTGCCAGAGTGATCTTCTCATTATGCAGTGACTCCAGGGCAAAGCCCAAAGCTCTTAGGAGGGCACTCGTGTCTCTTGGTCTAACTGTCCCCCCTGCGCCTCTTCTGCTGCGGTTGCCTTTCTATTGCTTTGGTTTGGCCTTGAGATGTCCCTGTTCCTCACTGTCCCCTGGTCTTTCTCCATCTAACAGAAAGCTCTTGGCTTTTAAATTTATTGTCACTGATTATTCTATAAATGGAATAAAGTTCATAAAAACTTTAACTAAACCAGCTCTGGGTGATGTGGCTCAGTGGGTTGGGCATCATCCCAGGCATCAGAAGGTTGCCGGTCGCTTCTGGGTCAGGGCACATGCCTGGGTTTCGGGCTCGATCCCTAGTAGGGGGTGTTCAAGAGGCAGCTGATGGATGTTTTTTCTCTCCCTTCCTCCCCCTTCCTTCTCTCTTAGAAAAACAATATATTTAAAAAACAATGAAACCTGCTTGTCATGGGCCTCCTCAGAAGCAGTTTAGGAAGCGGGAGGTGAGGCCTCCAGAAAATCCCCGAGGTCAGGAGGGACCAGTGTCCACGTGTGTGTTACCAAGTCATGGCATCAAGCTTGTGCCCCCGGGTGTGGTGGAGATGCTGCCATGTTACACGGTGCCTGGCATGCAGTATGTGCACAGTGAACATGGACAGATTATTGAATAAATAGAAACATGAATAAGCATAAAAGTAGTTGATTGTAATTCATTGTATACAATATATCATTTTTAATTCAACTTCAAATCACAGAATCAGGAATAAATGTATGCGCTTGGGTCACAAATTCTCTCTCAATGCCCCACTCCTATCAATAACACACATTTGGGTTTCCAGTCAGGGGACACTATATTAGAAAAGCAGGGATGCTGACAAAGCAGGCCTTCCTAGGTCTGAGGTAGCCGCTTGTCTGGGAAGCCAACTCAATCGATGGAAGTGAAAGGAGTGAAGATCGCGCCCCAGCTGCTGTTCCCTGGGGGCTGTGGCTCTGACCTCCAACCCTGTCAGTCACTCATGTGGCCATTTGTCCAAACACTCACGGGTTGGCCAGCTTCCCTTGGGCAAACCTAGCCCGGCTGCCCCACCTCACTGCTGTGCGGTGTGCCAGCCGTCCCAGGAGCTACCTTTTCCTGTGCTTACCGTTGTTCCATGGGTTGAACTGTGGTTCAAATATATTCTTATGCCTCGAAGATCACAAAGCTTTAAAGTAAAGTAGTTGTCATTGTAGGCAACCCCAAGGCTCTGACAAGAGCTTTGCTTGTTGAGGAGCCTGAATGTTGACTGATTCCTGCTCACACCTGGGTGTGACCCTCATACCTCTCTCTGCTCAGCTGCCCCAAATCCCCTACCCCAAAAGAGGGTCCTGCAGGTACTTCTCCCATATGTTCCCAAGGGCTTCAAGAGCATCAGACATTTAGCTTATAACCTCACACTGACTCAGATTCCTCACATAGATGAACTACCAGGTTGTTGAATGATTGAAACAGTGTGGTTATTTTTAAAAATTGTGCTCTCAAGTTTTGGTGTGAAAACAAATCACCTGGCGAATTTTATTAAAATTCACAGATTCAGGGGCAGGACCCAGGGTTCTGTGTTTCCAACACGCTCTCAGTTGAGGCCCTGCCTGGTCTGAGGCCCTCACTCTGAGTAACACATGTAGAGTCAGACCCTCAGGGGCCCTCCCTCCCATTAGCAAAGCCGGGGTTATCAGTACTTTGTTCAAAAAAGCACAACCTATTAATGATGGAACGCTCATCCGAACTTACTCATCAATCGGCCAGTTTCAGGGTCTCTTTCCATTTTCCAATCTGAGTATAACACTTCACCTTCCTAAAAATATCACAGATTCCTGGTGAGTACAATGGTCACTTAAGGGACAAACCCCTCCCTTATTCATGTGCTAAGACTGATTGTAACAAACACAGAGCAACAGGTGAACTTAATCAAGTGATAATTTGGTACAGTGGTGGGAAAAGGCTCAAATGATTACTTGAGTTTATCTCAAACAACAACAAAAAAATGAGTTTGATGAGTTTTTATCCACACACAGTAACGTGGAGAATACAGGCCATTATGGAGATCATCTATGTACACAAATCTCAACTGCTGGGTTTCCAAAGCGTTTGTTTTCAACAGGAAATTGTCCCCATGGACTGAAAGCTCCGGGGAGAGAGATGGAAAAGCCCTCAGTGATGGAGATTCTCAGCGTCCAACTTAGTGATTTATTCTCAGCATGCTGCACAGCAGTACTGAGCAAACATTTGCGGGATAAGAGTGAAAGAGGAAAAAAGAATTCATAACATGGTACTCATTACCATTTAAAGTTGAGCACCGGAAACAAAGTTCCACCCAATTGGCATAATAAGTGATATACACTCCAGTTCCACCTATGACCATTTTCGGGAGAGGGGAAGGCATAGAGAAGAGGCAGAAACGGCTGCACAGATGGGAAGGACAGAACCAGCGAGTGGCAGAGGTGGGAGCAGTTTAGAGGAAAAAAAATTCAGTCCCTCCAAATTTCGTCTTATAGATGCAATAACCGAGACTCAGAGAAATTTAATGACTTACTCAAATGCAGTTTCCTAATTTCAATCCTCCCCCAACACGGGAGATATTAATAAGAGAAAAACACAGAGAAGGTTGAATAAAAATAGAAGGTGAGAGGATTCAGAGGAGAAGATGGAATGGGATGTGTAGGCGAGGGAGGGGAGATGGGAAAACACTTGATTTATGCAAAGTGAAGAATAAGCCGACTGGGGCCAGGGCCCACTCATTTACTCATCTGCCCTTTATTCATCCGTGTTAATTCATTTAAGAGGCCTGTGTTTGGTGCTGGAAACGCAGTCAGAGGACAGGTGCTCCCTCCATTCACGGTCACAGTCTAAAGCAGGGGTGGGCAAACTTTTTGACTCGAGGGCCACAATGGGTTCTTAAACTGGACCGGAGGGCCGGGACAAAAGCATGGATGGAGTGTTTGTGTGAACTACTGTAAATTCAAAGTAAACATCATTACATAAAGGGGTACGGTCTTTTTTTTTTTAGTTTTATTCATTTCAAACGGGCCGGATCCGGCCCGCGGGCCGTAGTTTGCCCACAGCTGGTCTAAGGGCACAGACAGACTGTACATGTCTGGCCCACGGCCTGTGGCACGCCCCCTCATAGTTACCATTCACTGAGCACCCAGTGTTTGCCAGAAATGCTAGGAGCTTTATTTTTGTGACGGCAGCCCTCACCAAATCCCGGGTGAGGGATATCAGAGTTACTGATATCTCCCGGGTCTCATAGCTGCTACATGCAGCACTGAAATTAAACCAAGTCAAAGCAGAATAGTTTGAATCAGGTCAATACATTTGTGTCGAGTGCCCATTACATCAGCGGCCACAGAGTTGGAAACCTTCACGTCTTTCTCCGCCCCATTACCTTGTTCTGTTAATTCCATTCCTTCAACCTCCGTGTTGATACTCTTGGCACCTTGGTCAAGCCCTCTCTGTCTCTGGATTGGCCCCTCCTGAAGTTCCCCCCAGTCTGATCTCTCTGCCTCCAGGGCACTACTCCTTCCTACTTCAGCCCTGCACCAGCCAGCCCAGGTCCCAGAGCAGGATTAGCCCTGCCAAGGGTTGGAGAAGGTCATTCCACTGGAATGTCAGCGACCTCATGAGGGCAGGGGATTTTGTCTATTTTATTCACTGCTCTCTCTCCTGGGCCAAGAACAGTGCCGGGCATATAGTAAATGCTCAATAATATCTATTGAATGATGAATGAAGTTAATTCCAAACCAAGGGCTAGGTAGGCAGGAGTCTAGTGTACAAGAAGAATGAATGAAAAGCCAGCATATGGGAGATTGGTGCAGATGGGGATGGAGGGACAGGAAGGAGGCAAATCATACAGAATCTTAGAGGCTGCAGGGTGAGGTGTTCAGATTTTATTCATGTTTCACTGAGTCATCACTGAAGAGTTTAAGCAAATGGTGTTATGTTTTAATCTCTCTTTTTAAAAATTTCAGTTATTGATTTGAGAGAGAGAGAGAATCTATGAGGTTAACAATGGAGGTTAACAATTTTAAGTGCAAATAAGCATTTTAAAATATAAAAGGTATAACTTATTGTAAGCTTTCATAAAGCAAACATGAACAATAGGGGTTATCACCACATATTTCAATGTAATTAGAAATATTCATTTTAAAAACAGATAATTCCAACTCACCTCTGTTCCCACGAAGAACTTTGTGCAGAAGTCCTCTATCGGCCTGAGGAGATTGGCCAACCCACTTTCCAGGTTCTGGTACGGGTTCATTTCTTCAGTCTTTACGACTATGTTCGGAACTAACACTTTCTCTTTCAGAGGAGTATGGAGAGAAGCAGCACATATTTAGAATGAATGATCTTTAAAAATATACTTAGTTTATATGTTCTGTCTATTGCCTTACACATCTGCCCCCTAACCCCCAAGGTGGGATGAGTGAAAATCCCAGCATTTTGAGACCTCTAGCTTAGCAGTGGAATGTTTTTTTTTTCTTTTTTCAAAAACAAAGCTTATGTAAGACCCCTGTATGTAAAACTGGCGGAAGCTGCATTGCTCTCTGAAGCATTATCCGGGTGGTAATGGGGAGACCCTCCTGCCTACTTTGCAGGGGCTCTGAAAGGGTTCATGGCACATTTGAAAACCATTTTGCCTAGCCAGTTTGGCTCAGTGGATAGAGCGTCGGCCTGCAGACTGAAGGAAGGGTCCTGGTTTGATTCTGGTAAAGGGCACATTCCCAGGTTGCGGGCTTGACCCCCAGTTGGGGGTGTGCAGGAGGCAGCCGATCAATGATTCTCTCTCATCATTGATGTTTCTATCTCTCCCTTCCTCTCTGAAATAAATATATATAAACCACTTCTATATATTTCCACCATTGCAAAATTATTTATAGTAAAAATTGGACACAACATATCCCCTGGGTTATATCACCCTTGATGTGCTCAATAAGCTTTTCTGGGTTATATCACCCTTGATGTGCTCAATAAGCTTTTCTAATGAGAAACTCCTGTCATTTCTATTCAGTTGGCATCAAACGGAAGTTTTTCAAACAATCCAAGATTAGTTTTTTAAGTGTGAAAATTCTTTTAACTTCTAAAAAATAAATCTATCTAGAATGTATTACTTGTTTGTCATAAGCACAGCATATATGACATTGTTTGTTTTCTGATTAGCCTGGATTTATTATTTATGAACATCAATGACTGCACTGTATTATGGCTACAACTATACATGCAAACAGTAACAGCAGAGCTAATCTGGGGGCTGAAATTCAAATGTCATCTGAAACTTCTTTCTTTTTAAAAGTATCTGATGTCATTTTGTTTTAAAAAAAATACATTTTTATGATCTAAAATTAATAAATGTTACTTAGTGAAGCTTTGGAAAACAGAGAAAAGCATGAGGAAAATTACAAAATGTATCCATTTTCATACCTACCAGAAATAACCACTATTAAAATACTCATGTATTTTTTTCTGGTTTCTTTTGTGTGTGTGTGTGTATGTGTGTATTTTAAATTGGGTATATTAAGTACTGTATCCTACTTGTCTATTCTCTTATAGATATATCTTGGGCACTTTTCCAGGTCACTTATTAGTTTTTAAGAAATGTGATTTTTTAAATTTGAGGGAAAGGTGGTAGAGAAAATATGCTCACAAAACCCTCCTCCCCACATCTCCTCAATATAACTCTTGGGTTATATCACCCATGGGAAAACAAAAAACGAACATAAAAACCAACCAACAAACACATAAATGAAAACTAAAATAGGAGAAGAAAACACCAGCTATACTAAAACTATATATTGCATTTCAAAAAATCTTTAGCATAATTATGGACAAAAGTAAAAAATAATTATCATGACTTAGGTAACCAACACTTCCATTGTTTGGGATCTACATGTTTTGAGGGTCCCCTTTTTCCATTAGCTAAGACATTAAAAACAAGTATCCAAGTTAAGCCAATCGTGGATCCAGATCTTTAAATAGCTGTGTTTCAAAGTGTCAGTCAACATTCAGAAATAGCTAGGCACATTCAAACACATTGATCTTACCTCAAGGCACTCATAATACATTTAGCAAGAGCAAACTGGCTCTTGCTAAAAATTAAAGTCATTAAAATATTTATTTCAGGTTCTTCACTCTCATTTCAACGTCTGTTTTTCTCTTTTTTTAAAAAAAATATTTTATTGATTTTTTACAGAAAGGAAGGGAGAGAGAGAGAGAGAGTTAGAAACATCGATGAGAGAGAAACATCTATCAGCTGCCTCCTGCACATCTCCCACTGGGGATGTGCCCACAACACATCCTGACTGGAATCGAACCTGGGACCTTTCAGTCCACAGGCCGACGCTCTATCCACTGAGCCAAACCGGTTTCGGCTGTTTTTCTCTTTTTAAATAATATACATAAGTACATTAGTAGGATCACACTTATATGTGGAATCTAAAAAACAATATAAAGGAACAAACAAAACAGAAACGGACTCACAGACACAGGGAACAGACTGATGGTTGCCAGAGGGGAAGGGGGTTGAGAGCACTGGGTGAACAACATAAAGGGATTGAGAAGTACGGACTGGTAGTTGCAAAATAGTCATGGGGATGTGAAGTGCAGCATAGAGAATATAATCAATGTTATTGGAATAACTATGGTGCCACTTGGGTTCAGGAAATGTCACAGAAAACACTTTGTAAAGTATGATTGTCTAACCACTATGTTATGCTGTACACTTGAAACCAATACAAAATAATATTGAATGCAAACTGTAATTGAAAAAAATATATATATAAAGAATGTAAGCCGTGCTTAAAGTAAAACAGACTGTAACGGGGTTAGAGACCAAACCTAATAAAGCTGGCATACAAATGGAGGTGGGGGAGTCTCTGTTTGTAGAGTAGAGCACCTATATCATTTGTAAATAAGCACGTGTTCACTGGGAGTACGTGCTCAAAATAGTTTCCTGAGGGGGTTGAAGATGGAAAATTTGGAGCCTTCGGATCTCACAAGGGAACACAAGAGACTGGTGCAGGGGGCACTACTGGTAATGCCAGGGAAGAGGCATGTGTGAGATGCATTGCGAAGGACAACTTAATCATCCTGAGTGACAGGGTGGACATGGGGGGCCTGAGGAAAGGGTCTGTGGGGGATGCAAATCTGTTCTGGGCAGAATGACTTTGAGGGAAAGGTTGGGTTCAAGCCCAGGAGAAGGAGGGAGAGGAGGGGGAGGCTTCTTAGCAGAGGTCAGAGTGTAGACCACGTCCCCAAAGGAGAGTGCGATGAGAAAGCACACAGCTGACGTTAGATTTCGAGGAACATTCAGTGACGGGGCAGCAGGGTAAAAGGAAGCAGGAAAGAAGAGAGAGGAGAGAAACTGAGGAAATATCAGAAAAGCCAAGGAAAGGGGCTTAGCCGGTCGTGTTTAATGTGGTAGAGGCAAAGAGGAGGGGGTCAAAGAAAAAGGTTATCATCAACTTTGTTTACTCAAACTTGACTGAAATAAATGACTGAAATAAATTCAACGCCATCCTTATGGCTCATGGATTTCCCATCACCGAGGAGAGTAAAATCAATAGCTGCTAACGATTATCGAAGGCTTACCACATGCCAGGCACGAAACTGTGTGCCCATGAACCATTTCATTCAATCCTCACCACTCAGGGCGGGTAAACATTAATCCTCCTTCGGGAACGAGTCAGGGAGGCTCAGAGAGGTTGAGTAACTTGGCCACGATCTCAGACTCGGTGGTGAATGTTTATTGTGGGTTCATGACCTGCTTGCTGTTCTGAGAGCTTCACATGTCTAAACCCATTTTATCTCCATAGCACCGTGCGTGGTGCTTACCTTTATCATTTACTCGCCACCCCCCTATTTTCTCCTCTTTCCTTTCAAACTAGATAAAAAAGAAAAAAAAAAAAGGCACAGGATGGTAGAGTAATTTGACCTGGTGAAAGAATAAATTGTGGCTTTGGGATTTAAATCCAAACCACCGACTCCAGAAGCCACACCCTTAACCATTGCACCACATTACTTAGAGGAATACGACACAGGCTCTGAAGGTAATCCCCAAAGAGGAGTTCCGAAGCTGTCACAGCAAAGGTTTCCTCATTGGAATAAATATCGGACTTCTTAAAACCACTACTGCTCAGAAGGGCACTGTTAGGACCTAAAATGGCAGGTAAAGCGTGAGTGGCCTATGGCCACGAGGTGGCAACGGAGGACCAGGCACTGCTGCTGGGGCAGCGAGGCCTTGAGAAGAGCCGGGACTTGTGATTCACAGTGGAAGAACCACAATAGGGTCAGTAAGCAAAACGTGATGATGGAAAAGCATATGACTGTGTTTTAGCCAACAGATCCAAGCCAGGCCAGAGTAGGTGGGCAGCTGTTGGTGTGTCGGAAGGAGACCCAAAATACCATAGTTAGAGCTCCAATAAGTCCCGAAAGCGAGTCGACTACACAGGAAGCAGGTCATGGCCATAGTCACTGCCTTTTGAGATGAGAGGCATTCTGTTAGCAAGCTCCGTGGCGTTACCAGGTGAAATTTAATTCTGCCCAGGGCCTGTGGAGTTGTCTGTAACGTGGATTTCTAGACACGTATAAGGGGGCAAGGCCAACTAGAGTCTCAGCTGAGAATCTAAAACATGTCCATTCCCTTCATGAACTGATTTAGCTAAATATACCTTTCTCTAAGAACCCCCCTAAAAGGACTTTGTCTGGAAAGAGAGAGTCATTTGATGAGGAATATTCCTGTTTGACGACATTTGGGGCACCCTTCAAGGCTCTTCGTTTTAAACAGGCACGTCCTTAACTGGAGGCAGGTATGCACTTTAATGTATTTTAGTGTCTCTCCAACCAGAACGCAAACCCGTGAGAGGAGGGACTTGTCTTTTTCACAGCTACCTCCTCAGAGCCCGGCACTTTGCAAAACTTTAATGTTTTACATAAACACAGTTTATAGAGAGAGAGAGACATAACAGTGTAAACATTATTCTTTTAAACAGTAGAGGATCGCAATATTTTTATATAAGGCTTCTGATCACAGTTGGCATTCTGCATCTGTTCCATAAAGTTAGAAGTGCCGACACTAAAATGAAATATAATGTGCTTTCAGGGGGAAGCAAGGCCTCTGCCACCTGAAATGGTACTGTATTTAGGCAGTCCTCAGGAAGACAAACACTAGGAGTTTAATACTGGGAAAGAAATGAAGGCTCAACAGAAATGACACTCATGTTATAAAGACATTAAAGTTTAGATACATCTGTTTTTAAAAAGTCATATCTCATAGTGAATTTTTAAAAACACACTTTAGAGAAACT